GGGGGGGGGGTGGGGGGAGGGGGGAGGCACGGGTGGGGGCGGGTGGCGGTTACTCATAAAGGCAGGACAATTTCCCGGTGACAGACGCTCGGCGGGGACGGACCCAGGGATTTCTCTTCCCCATTTCCCCCCCGGGGCCCCGATAACGTGGGGTGGGGGGAGGTCTGGTTGCTTCCCCCACCCCCTGGAAACCCGGATCCTTCACCCAATGCTCACCGTAGATGGAGAGGATAAAGGATTGCTCCATCACCTCCGCCGTGTCCAGTAAGATCTGAGCCTTGTAGACCCCACTGTCCCCCAGTTCCAGGGGCTCAATCTTCACCGTCGTCTGGTTGAGCATCTTCAGCCGATTTTTGAACCGGTCCTTGGGGTTGGGGCGCTTGAAGCCATCGGGGCCAACCTTTGCCACTTGGATGGTAGGCCTGGTGTCACCTGAGAAGCTCCACTCGGTCTCGTTCCATGTCTCGTTGGGGAGCAGGAGTGGGGAGAGAAGCACAGACCCCCCCAAGCTGCCGTTCACCCGCTGGGGTGGTGGGTTCGTGGTGCCTGTGGTTGGGACAGGGACAGTCTGGAGGATGGAGACCCCCAGCATCCCCCCCTCCCCACCTTGTTCCTCCCCACAGCCCCCACCCGGGGTACCCGTGGGTGTCTGCCCACCCCCCCTGGGATGATTGATCAGATCCTGCACCCATCGCCCCCAAACCCCAACAGAACCCCCCCAGGTACCACCAGTGGGGCTGGGCATCCCCCAGGGATGGGGAGGGAGAGTGGGGGGGGACACAGATGCTTGGGTGCCTTCCCAACATCGTCTCATGTTCTCCCAGTGTCTCCCCGTGTCACCCCACGCTGTGCTCGGGTCAGCCCCACCACAGGTTCGTGGAAGGGATGGGGGTCCTCACCCCCCCCCCCCCCCCCCCCCCCCCCCCCCCCTTATCTTCCTAGTGTAGAGAGGGAATTTCAGTCTGAGAGGGTTAATTTTTCTCTTTCTGAGACTTACAGACAGTGAATGGAGCTACAAGGTCTTTGGACAATTCTCTTTGGTCAAAATTCCTTGGATTTTACAGAATTATTCTTTGTAGTTACAGAATTGTTCTTCTCTAGTGAAAAGCTGCTACTGGGTGGCTGCAGGATGGGATACTCAGAGTTTTCTGTCCTGATTGTAACATGGTGTGCTGACCCATGCTTGATCTATTAAATGGACATTATACACCCAAATTTTAGGTACCTATTTTTGTAAACTGTGGTATATAAGTAATTCTAGTCAGACAGGGATATGTTTGACAGGTTGTTGTTCTATCCTTTGGCACGCTATTTTGATTCTTCCTCCCACTTATTTTGTCTGCATTTTTAGATTTTTGTTGCATTACACTATTTAATGTTTATCTTTGTTTATCTTCTTTTTCCTTAATTGGAAAGACTAGTCTCATTAATATGAATTTCATGTATCTGGCAAATAATTTGATATTTATTTTTTTTTAATACACTAAGAGAAGTTTTGGATGATCATGGATACCTGTCGCTGAAATTTCTGTCAGCACATAGTGAGGGAAGTGTTCTGGGATACATAAACTCTGAGTTAGGTTTGCAATGTGTATCGTTGAATAAATTATGCCTACTATTTGAAGTAGTGGGAATAAATATGCACTCTTGAGTTTGAACAGTGAGTGGCAGTTGGGGGGGGGGTGGGGGGAGGGGGGAGGCACGGGTGGGGGCGGGTGGCGGTTACTCATAAAGGCAGGACAATTTCCCGGTGACAGACGCTCGGCGGGGACGGACCCAGGGATTTCTCTTCCCCATTTCCCCCCCGGGGCCCCGATAACGTGGGGTGGGGGGAGGTCTGGTTGCTTCCCCCACCCCCTGGAAACCCGGATCCTTCACCCAATGCTCACCGTAGATGGAGAGGATAAAGGATTGCTCCATCACCTCCGCCGTGTCCAGTAAGATCTGAGCCTTGTAGACCCCACTGTCCCCCAGTTCCAGGGGCTCAATCTTCACCGTCGTCTGGTTGAGCATCTTCAGCCGATTTTTGAACCGGTCCTTGGGGTTGGGGCGCTTGAAGCCATCGGGGCCAACCTTTGCCACTTGGATGGTAGGCCTGGTGTCACCTGAGAAGCTCCACTCGGTCTCGTTCCATGTCTCGTTGGGGAGCAGGAGTGGGGAGAGAAGCACAGACCCCCCCAAGCTGCCGTTCACCCGCTGGGGTGGTGGGTTCGTGGTGCCTGTGGTTGGGACAGGGACAGTCTGGAGGATGGAGACCCCCAGCATCCCCCCCTCCCCACCTTGTTCCTCCCCACAGCCCCCACCCGGGGTACCCGTGGGTGTCTGCCCACCCCCCCTGGGATGATTGATCAGATCCTGCACCCATCGCCCCCAAACCCCAACAGAACCCCCCCAGGTACCACCAGTGGGGCTGGGCATCCCCCAGGGATGGGGAGGGAGAGTGGGGGGGGACACAGATGCTTGGGTGCCTTCCCAACATCGTCTCATGTTCTCCCAGTGTCTCCCCGTGTCACCCCACGCTGTGCTCGGGTCAGCCCCACCACAGGTTCGTGGAAGGGATGGGGGTCCTCACCCCCCCCCCCCCCCCCCCCCCCCCCCCCCCCGCGGGATCCCCAGATCCCCTCAGGACCGACTCCTATCCCCATCTAGGGGGGGTTCTCCTCACGAAACCCACCGGCGCTCCCTCAGTGGGTCCCCAGACCCCCAAAAACGGGGTGTCCCCCCCTTCCTCCCCACAGAGGGATCCCCAGATCCCCTCAGGACCGACTCCCAGCCCCATCCAGAGGGCCTTCTCCTTACGAAACCCCCTCAGCGAGCCCCCAGCCCCCCAAAAACGGGGGGCCCCCCCCCCCCCCCCCCCCCCAATGCCTTGCACCCAAGTGGGGGTCAAATCAGGTCAGTTTGAGGTTAAACCTTTGAGGGATGTCCCCAGGGTGGGGATGGGGACCTTCCATCCAGCTCGGTGCTGAGCTTTTGGGGTGCAGCCCCCCACTATTTAGAGAATGGGTTGGGTTGGAAGGGACCTTTAGAGGTCATCGAGGTGCTCAGACGCTCTTCCCAAAAGACTTTCCATCCCCAAATCATGGAATCATGGAATGGTTTGGGTGGGAAGGGACCTTAAAGACCACCCGGTTCCATCCAGGGCCACCTCCCACCAGCCCAGGTTGCTCCAAGCCCCCCTTGGTGCACAGACCTTAAGCCCGTCCAGGGATGGGGCAGCCACAGCTTCTCTGGCCAGCCTGGGCCAGGCTCTCACCACCCTCACACCAAACAACTTCTTCCCCAGATCCCACCCAAATCTCCTAATTTTTGGTTTAAAGCCCTTCCCCCTCATCCCATCACTCCCCTCCATGACCCAAAGAACTTCTGCCCCACATCTCAGCTCCATCTCCTCAGTTTTGGTTTAAAACTGTTCCTCGTTGTCCTATGGCTCCACCCCCTAATGGGTTGGGTTGGAAGGGACCTTTAGAGGTCATCGAGGTGCTCAGACGCTCTTCCCAAAAGACTTTCCATCCCCAAATCATGGAATCATGGAATGGTTTGGGTGGGAAGGGACCTTAAAGACCACCCGGTTCCATCCAGGGCCACCTCCCACCAGCCCAGGTTGCTCCAAGCCCCCTCCAACCTGCCCTTGAACCCCTCCAGGGATGGGGCAGCCACAGCTTCTCGGGGCAACCTGGGCCAGGCTCTCACCACCCTCACACCAAAGAACTTCTGCCCCACATCTCAGCTCCATCTCCTCAGTTTTGGTTTAAAACTGTTCCTCGTTGTCCTATGGCTCCACCCCCTAAACACCATCCCTGGAGGGATCTCAAAGCCGGTGCTGAGGGACACGGGGCAGTGGTGGGTTGGGCAGTGGTGGGTTGATGGTTGGTCTTGATGAACTTGGAGGTCCCCTCCAACCCAGGGAAGTGGTGGAATCACCAGAGCATCACAGAACGTTTGGGGTTGGAAGGGACCTTCAAGACCATCTGGTTCCATCCCTTCTAGTGGAAGGGCCATCTTCAATGAGACCAGGTTGCTCCAAGCCCCCTCCAACCTGCCCTTGAACCCCTCCAGACCCTTTGGGGGTGCATCCCAGGGTCGGGGGGGGGCGGTTTCTGGGCTACTTCAATTCCTGGGGCGAGATGCTCGTTGGGGGAGAAGCGGAGGGAGCCTCACCAAGGTTTTTTGGGGGGGATGGATGGACGGATGGACACCACCCCCCCTTCCCACACCGCAGGGCCCATCCTGTCCCCCCCCTTTTT